AAGTCCATTTGTGGCAAATGTGCTTCCTTTATTATAAAGGGAAGGGCTGGGATTGGATTAGTGCTTCTTAACCTTTTTATGATGGCAGCTTAATTCCTGACAGCATCCAGTGCTAAACTCACTTCCATGGGTACCTGGTAAGGGATGTAGGTCATGTTTCTTCACAACATGGCAGCTGTAATCTTCTTTTTCTCTTCAAATTAGAAAGCACATTACATTGCAAGTGATATTATGTCATAGGAATAATCTTAAATATATTCTAATTATTTTTATGTCAATTCTTTGAAAATTTTAACTGTTATTAGTAACATAATTGTCCTGTAGCTCAGTTGACTAAACCCACTGGACTAGATGATGTTTAATAAATATCCTTTTCAGGTACAACATTAAATGCTTCTAGAAATAGTGGTGCATCTTTGAGGAATGAATCTAATAGTGCCAGTAAGATCAGGCAATTTATTTAGCATCACCTCAGCTTAAACTCTGAAAACTCCATCTTGTCTTCATTTACACGGTATCTGCTTTTTTTTCCCCTAACTTCATTGGACTCTTATTCCTTTTATCTTCTCATTTTCTACCTCTCCACTGGCAGCTCCTGACCTTATTTCTCTGCTTGACCTAGATTGAATGGATGATCACCTGAATTACTTTCTTACCTAAAACCTTCAACATCGTTACACTTCTATACTTAGGTCACTTGGATTCAGAAACTCAGAACCCTGGATCAATAACCATTTATCATCTTATCTTCTACATCAGGTGTGCAAAGTGCTGCTGGAAAAGAGAACACAACTACACTGATCGTGTCCCTGCAAGTTTGTTCTTCATTCTCAGCTTTCAGCCATTTAAGAAAATGAATTCTAGTTGTACCCACTCTGACTCAACTACTGGTTGCCCCAATGTCACTGCCTTCAAGCCTCCTTCCAACTTTGTACTCTCACTCTCCCAGATAATTTTGTCTGCTTTGTCAACAGAAATGGAAAGATCAAATGTAACCTTCCTAAGTCTCCTATTCTGCTCCTCGCGAAGGACTTATGTCCACCCTTACTCTCTGAACCTCCCCTGGCCTCACAAGATGAGGCAACTTTATTCCTGTTGAAGGCTAGACCCTTCTCTTTGCTGTTCATCTTATCCACTCCTATCTTTGTCCTTGTATCCTCTTTATTGTATCACCAACCTCGTACTCTCTACTAATTATTATTATTATTATTATTATTATTTTTGAGACAGAGTCTCGCTCTGTTGCCCAGGTTGGAGCGCAGTGTTGTGATCTCGGCTCACTGCAACCTCTGCCTCCTATGTTTGAGTGATTCTCCTGCCTCAGCCTTCCGAGTAGCTTGGGACTACAGGTACCCACCACCACGCTGGGCTAATTTTTTGTAGAGACGGGGTTTCACCATGTTATCCAGGATGGTCTCGATCTCCTGACCTCGTGATATACCCACCTCAGCCTCCCAAAGGGCTGGGATTACAGGTGTGAGCACTGTGCTCAGCCCTCTCTACTAATTATTAATCAAAAAACATGCTCAATTGTTGCCCATACTAAAGAAAGAAAGAAAGGAGAGAGAGAAAGAAAGAAACTTAAAACCAAACAGCTATCACCACCATCACCTTCTTTGGCCCTGTGACCTATTCTGGTTTTAACTGTCTTCCACCTTCCTCTGAGAAGAGCTCTCCCCAGTCACTGTCTCCAGATTTTGTTTCCCATTCACTTTTCAACCCAATGAACTCTGACTCCTTGTCCACCACCACACTGGCATAGCTAAAGACACTGTGATGTCTGCATTGTACTGTCATATCCCTTTCTGTGCTGAATTTGACACTTCCAACCTCACACTCCTTGAAATTCACCTTGCCTTTGGCTTCCATGACCTTATTGCTTTTGTTTCTCTGACATTCCTTTTCAGACGCTTGTGACTACCTCTGAAATGTTGGTATTTCCCCCAGGATTCCATCTTGAACCACTGCTATTTTGCTTGGAGTTTTACTGCTACCAGTGTATGTGCTGAGGACTTGCAAGTCTATACCTCCAGTCCTAACCTTTTCCTTTTGCTTCAGAGGTCAGATCACACTCTATGTGTGTTTCCTACAGCTATCTCAAAGTCAGCATGGCCTTTGCTGAATTCATCAACTCCCTCACTTTCCCAAACTGGGTCTTCTTCCTCTATTCCTTCTGAACTTTAGAATGGTTGGTTTTAAAAGTTAGTAGCTGTGATAGTTTCAGAATCATTCTAAAACAGCATACAGTTCAATAAAAATATAATGGAAGCTACATATGTAATTAAACAATTTCTGGTAGCCACATTAAAAAACAAAAGGAAACAGATGAAATTAATTTTTACAATGAATTTTATTTAGCCCAATATATGTTAAATACATTTCGACATGTAATAATTGTTTTAATTTAATGATATATTTTACATTATTTCTTCTATTACGTTTTCAAAATTCAGTGTTTATTTGAACACTTATGGCACATCTTAATGGCAACTAGTCAATAGGGCTCAACCACCATATGTGGTTAGTGGCTAGTGGCTGCACTGTTACCTAGTTCTGTTCTTTCCCCTCACTAATCCCACTCTCATTCACCCATAAATCCTGTTGATTTTACCTCCTAGATATTTCTTCAGTAGGTTCATTTCCTTTTAACTTTATACATCATGACTTTAATTCATATCCTGGCCGTATTTCACTTGAGTTACTGCAATGGCTTTTATAACCTAGTTTCTCTGTTCCAGGGAGCATGCAAGATCCATTGAAATGCAAAGTGCTATAATAAGATATCTACTGATATATATTTTTAACTAGAAAATAAGAAAACAGCTCAGATTCATATTTAATATTTATTTATTATACATACTGATGCCAGTACCCTTGCTCTGCATCTCTGATAAAATGAAGTAACTAGTATATTTTCATTGAGTGGTATGATTAGCATGCTACTTATAAGCCCTGGTAGGGTGGGTAATGATCTTAGTGTGAAATAATTTAACCAGCTGCTTCTTACTGAAAACTATTAAATAGATGTGACCATTTACTCTAAGGAAAATAAAGTTTTGATTGTATGTGTGCATGCATGGGCTTCAAGCTTCATTGTGAATAAGAATCACTTTGGCAACATATTAAAATATAGATTCTTGGGTTTCATATATATACATTCTGATTCACTTGGAATGGTAGGTGGCCTAGGAATCTATATTTTTATAAAGCATTTGAATGATTGTAATATAACTGGTAGAAACCATACTGTATTAGTCTGTTTTCATGCTGGTGATGAAGACATACCCAAGACTGGGAAGAAAAAGAGGTTTAATGGACTTACAGTTCCACGTGGCTGGGGAGGCCTTACAATCATGGTGGAAGGGAAAGAGGGGCAAGTCACATCTTACATGCATGGCAGCAGACAAAAAGAGAGCTTGTGCAGGGACACTCCCACTTTTAAAAACATCAGATCTTGTGAGACTCATTTACTATCACGAGAACAGTGCAGGAAAGAGTCGCCCCCATAATTCAGTAACCTCCCACCAGTTTCCTCCCATGACACATGGGAATTGTGGGAGTTAAAAGTCAAGATGAGATTTGGGTGGGGACATAGCTAAACTATATCACATACTTTGAGTATTAGTCTGTTCTTTGTTTAGTAGAGAGTTAAAAAGCCATAGAGAAAAGTGCATTAGCCCCGACCAGAGAGGGATGTTATATGGGGGTTATAAAAGCAACAGCACACTGAAATGGAAATTGGGCACAAAGGCAATGCTGAAACCGGGAATCAAGGGGGACAGGGGCTAGAAATGTGGAGAGAGGCTTGGAAGACAATGTTGAGAACCTTGGTCTATTCTATAATTTTCTCTAGGATTGGCCTACCTTCTTCAACTAGAAAAGTTAATAGCAATATAAAAATGAAATCTGATTATTAGGGTATTTTCATGTTCCTTTAGTAACTGACATTCATTAGTTTTTCAATGAGTAATTTTTAAATATTTCAGGATGTCAACATGTTGGCATCCTGAAATTTAAGTGTAGGACAGTTTTTGTGTAGGACACAGAAATTTAAGTGTAGGACAGTTTTTGACTTTAGAACACTATCATCCAATTGCATTTAGCATTTCATTTCTAGTTCTATGACAACAAAATTATCCTGTATAGAGGACATGGTAAGTGATGCCATCTGGATAACAGACTTTAACTTCACAATAATTCTGAGGGGAATAAAACCTCACATTTTTCCTTAAATCATATAAATACTTATCTATAAATAATTTCTGTTAAATCTATAATCCAAGTTGTTAATGTTTTAGAACTTAAAACCTGTTTAAAAAATTTTATGAAAATGCTACATGTTTTATCATATGGTAGAGAACAACCAGAAGATTTAAACTTCATAGATTTGAAATTTTACAATATGCTGTTCAAATTGTAAATTAAGACTATTAAAAACACCAGACTTTTCATTTTAGTTTATTATTTCATCTTTCTCCCTCAATCAATCTTATTTAGGGCCAACAAGGGGCTAATTGATTGAATTGAGTTTCTTCTTTTCATCATTTGCTGCCAGGTCTCTGGTGGAAATCCTAATGAGCTGCAAACCAGGCAAACAAATGGGCCAGTAGACTGGAAGTGGGGAAGGGACAGTGGATATGGAGAGTCTATTGTTCATCCAATCAACTAAATATGTTTTAATTGTAGCAACAATGCCATAAGCAGGCCTGACACAGTCTATTAGTTTGCCTCACTTCATTCTTGTTTCAGTCACTCCACTTCCACCATCAGTGAGTCTGAGATTTTTATTTCATTCATTGACAGGAGAGACTTCCCTTCACTCATCTGCACTTTCGGAAGATAAATTCTCTCGAATAACTCAATAGAAGTTGAGTTTGGAGGGAAAATACTATTTTTATTGCAATTAATATCTTGTTTTTAACTTCTCTTATTCCAAGGCATCTAATCTCCATTGGCTTTTGTTAAACTAAACACCTCTGCTGATTTCTGCTTTTTCGTAGGTGATTCGCAAGGGGTGGCTCACCATCAGCAACATTGGCATCATGAAAGGGGGCTCGAAGGGATACTGGTTCGTCCTTACTGCGGAAAGCTTGTCCTGGTATAAAGATGATGAGGTAAGTCACAGAGAGTAACAAAGTTTTCTTGTTAAAGTGTTTCTCATTTTAAATTAATTGATATTATTGTACTATGCAATTTTGAGACAGCAGTGGTTCTCTTTCCGTGAGATTAAGCTTGGAATGTTTGTTTTCAAAAGCACTATTGTTTTCTTATAGATTTAAACTTTTACAATATTCGACCAAATTTCTTTTTCTTTTTTGTTTATTTCTTTGCTGTAACCATGTGTTTGCTTACCTGAAGAAATGGAGGTAGGTGTCAAAGTTGAAAACCTCCTTCTTTATAATCATGTCAATGTACTGGTACAGTGAAAACTTTCATTAAAGAAAGTGTTGAAAGACCCAAGGTAATAGAACATTTTAAGAGTGAAATTAATAATATTGATGCAGAGTTAATAAAGCGTTTTGGAATTGTTCCTGTGGCATCTGTCTCAAATGAAAGGCTTTTGAGAATGTCCACATCACTAGTCTTCAAGTGAGTCTCAGATCATTGTTTATACAAATTTTTTTCTTTGAGAATTTGATATCTATGTAAAAGCATGAATTATGGTAATTATAGTGTTCTGGTTCATGTTAGATGTTAATAATTTTGGTCCTGTGACTTACTGCTCATTTAAATTTGATAGCTATAAAAGTGCAAACAAAAAACTCATATTAGTCTTACAGAGCCATTTAAGTGCTAGAAATTGACACCATTAAATGTGAGGGAGCACAGATAGAAATTAAACTATGTCTTGAAACTTTTAATAGCCCTGGTCTGACCTGATGATTTTTTGGTACTTATAATGCGGCATGCAAACGTTCTATAAGGATACTCATGATAGCAAAACAATGTACAGGTGAGATTCTCAATTACATGTGGCCATGAAGGGCATGTATTTCAAAGTTAAAGGTTTTTCCTACCTTGGCCTGACATCTTTTGAAAGCATTACAGGGTGCCTTTGTCATTCCTTGGAGGAAAAGTTTCATGTCTTATATAGTACATTTCATTTCTCAAGAGCCCTGTGTGTAATAGTGTGTTGAAAAATATTGGATAATTGGTTGATTGCCCCTAAACTTTCTGCAATAAGGGAAATGAAATCCTGTAGAAATGTCCAAACAAAATACTATTTAAGAGCTTGTATTTAAATTTTTATGTCATTGACCAAAGTCAAAAGTAGATTTGGTCATTGTGATAGTATGAGGGTTAGCAATGGTTTCTTTCCTGTGCTGGCTGCTTAACTATCTCTGTCATTCTGTGGGAAGCTCCAGTTTTAACGTAGCTTGAGGAGCTCAGAGACACTCCCCTAGATGTAAAAATCACTAAATAGATGATCTTCTTTGTTGTTCAGTTGTAATAAGGTACCTTCTATTAGATATATTTTTACTCCAAGGATTTAGATGATAATTTATGTGCATTTAAATACATGTAAACCTTGGGACCTTTCTCAGTTATACAAGGCCACAGAAAATATTTTACTAAGGAATCATAATAATGATGGCTAGTGTTTTATATGTATTAATTAACTCATTTAACCATATTCAGCCTTAACTACTACTATTCCTACTGTTGATGAGAAAACTACAAATAAAACAAAACTTTTTTTTTTTAAAAAGTCTTTTTTACAGGACTATTTTCCTTATTGCAGAACATTTAGTCTTGGTGAGGATAACAAACTTACCAAAATCACACAGCTAGTTGGTGGCAAAGCAGAAATTTGAACCCAGGCTGTTGAGCTCCAGAGCCTATGCTTTCAACCACAAATAAAGGCAAGAATCCCAGAGATGCCTGGAGTTGTCCAAGCCAACCTCATCCCACAGAGGACTTATGAAGATGAATTCCAGGCATCTCATCGTTGACATGTTCCTGGGTGTTAGCAGCAGAGACACTGAAGACTCTGGAGTAGCTACTGCTGTTGGAGTGTGGCGTTAGTCTGGCTGTGTGAGTCCTGAAAATAAGTCCATTGGAAGGTATAGGATGCTCCCTGTAGGGAAGGAAGAAGCTTTGAAGTGAAGTGAGCTCATGGTTATTGGCTCATCTCCTCTCCTCCAGATTCAGGATAATTCTTTACAAAATCACTGCCCTTGTAGCTTCCTCATGAGTACTTGATTACAACAGATGGAAAATAAATATGCACACTTATAATATTAACCAAGTGCCATGAACAGTCCCACTCTGTGTGCTATGTATAACCAGGGTATAGTGTGGAAGGTCGTTGGGGTCAGGGGAGAGTGGAAATGATCCTTGAAATGGAATTATTTAGATGAAAAAACTCTAGGAAAGTGTAATTTTATCCATTTAGATCATTTTAAGAATGAGGAAATGACAAAGTTACTGCTCTATGGAGCTAACAAGCAAGTAGAATAGTAATACAATATCAGATAGTAAATGCTCCTAAGAAAATAAAATGGGGTATTGAGTTAGAAAGTGATAGGGGAGGGGTCTTTAGGTTTGGGTGATTGGAAGGAAGTACCACTTGAGCAGAGACTGAGGTGATGCACTGTGCAGAAGATTTTGCTGAAGAATATTCCAGGTAGAGGGAACAGTAAGTATAAAAACCCTGGCGATGGGATCCAGCAGGAAGTCTGTGACTGTAACATAGGAACAGTGGGGGAGAAAGGCAGGAGATAAAATCAGAGGTACCAGTGGATGGGGACCTTATCAGTCCCTACCCAATGATTTGGATTTTATTACAAGGATAATTGAAAATGACTGGAGTGTTCCAACAGGTTGTGACATGATTGGATTGATGGTTCAGAAGGATTACCCTGGCTGCTGGATTGTGCATAATAAGTGGGATGGGGTGGATGTGTGGAGGGAGTGGAGATGGCTAGCATGGAAGAAGGGAGACCAGGTTGGAAACTCTGACCATGGTCCAGGCAAGTAGCTGGTGGTGAGGGTGCAGAACACTTAAGTTCAAGGTAGCAAATTTATGGGCTACACACAGCTATGATTGAGTCACTAGCTTCTGTTTCTTTTTCCTCAAGAAACAAGATAGGAAGTTCTCATCATTAAGATCATCACTGAGACTGAAAGCTGGCCTTCATGATTTAAGCAAGTATAATGACTAGGGGGAATGCTACTTGCAACCACAATTCAAACGCAGTGATGATCTTAATGAGGAGGATCATCACCATAATGACTAACAGTTATTGAGTATTTATAGTTCACTGAGCACATTATTTACATTCTCCATTTTAGAGATGAAGAATTGAGGCTCAAAGAGAATGAGTAACTTAGCTATGTGCTAAGTGTCAGTGCTATGTTCTTAATCATCTGAACATTTCCCAACAATTACTTTCTGAACACTTGTTATGTACCAGGCAGTGTCCTAATCACTAAGGATAAAATGATTAGCAAGGAATTTATGGTACCTATTCTTATGAAGACTCCTTCCCAATAAAGCAAACATACAAATGAATAGGAAAACCTATCAGATACTGATACAGGCTAGGAAGAAAATAAAGTCAGTGATGAGTTGACATAGAGTGTCTGGGATAGAGGACACAGGTAGGGGGTACTTTACACTGGGTGGTCAGAGAAGGTTTGTGTTAACGTTCTGAGGCAGGATTGAGCCTGATGAATTTAAGGAGTGTAATTAAGTCCAGTGTGACTGGAACAAAAAGAGAAAGGTACTCTAAAGATGAGGATTTTGATGTTAAGAATTATGAGAAGTCTTTGAAGTTTTTAAGCTGGAGAGTCACATGATAAGATTTGAATTATTTACTGATTCCTTTGGTTGCCTTGTGGAGAATGGATTGGAAGAGGGCAAAACTGGACTGGGGAGTTACTAGAAAGCTATCGCTTTCTACATCTATTGTGGTCTGCATAGATAATGGTAGCTTGGGCTGGGGTGAGTTGTTGGAATTTGATAAAAATGAATGGATTTAAGAGACGTTTTTGGAAGGTGAAAATTGACATGAACAACTCATCACACATGCTAAGAGTTGCAGCAAACTGTAAGCCTCTTGAGACCAGGAGCCATTGTTTGTTCCCTGTTCTACCACCAGGGAACACAGCACTGATAGGAGGCACTAACTAAATATTGATTGAATAAAGGTGTCACTGAGCAAATGAATGAATAAATGCAGCATAATAATTAATCACATCCTGGCATATCAAGTGTCAAAATTAAATTATTGAATTACAGAATAAAATTACCATTAAAGGTAGATTGTCTTAAATTGTCTTAAATTTTGTTAATTTTCATCATTGAAGGTTAGTGGTTTTTTGTTTTTGTTTTGGTTTTTGTTGTTGTTGTTTGTTTGTTTTTCATCCTCTGATTATATAAATGTGACTTCCTGGATTGAAAATCATTTAAACAGAAAATTAATTTCCCAATGTTGTTTTCATACATTGCCCATATATGTTGTACAGTTTTGGAGAGGGATTTAGTAAAAAGCAAGATGTGAGAATAAAACAGAAACTATCACATCAAAAGTTTTTTGAAATGGATTTTTAATCTAGATAATTTTACATTAATACTTTAAAATCAGACTTGAAAAAAATGATGGCTTTTCTTTAACTTATGTCTAAAATGTGAATTTTAGGAGACTGGGAGACTCTGAGTCAAGTAGAAAAGAGCTTATTTTTTCTTAAAACCAATGAGAAATTTGTTTTAAAAGTATATAAATGTGTAAATTTTAAGAGATAATTCAAATCTCTGAAGAAAGGGGACTCTTAATTTATGTATAATAAAAGCACTTTGTCAATATTTATTCTATTTCTATAGCACAGTGTGTAAAGATTTAAATCATAATGAGCTACTCCTAGGCAAGCAGAATGCAACATAGGCGTTTCCAGTGGAAATCTACTAACCTTATACTAGTGAGGAAAACCCAACATCTGCATTGAAATAAGGACATTCTTTGGACTCTTAAGAAATTACAGGCCTCATTTTTGTGGGTTGAAGTGTTTGGATAACTTGATAAGGAGATTATATAATTCCCTTATAGGGATATTTACTTAGCATTGTTTTTATTTTGTAACAATAACAAATGACAAATGTAATTTCAGAAATAGGAAACAAAATGACAGTTATATCCCTGGATGACCAAAGTTGTGAGATCAAGAAGTTATAGAAATATTCAGCTCTCTTTCTAGTTTCACTTATACTCTTAAGATTGTACATATTTCCTACCAGATCTGCACACTCCCTGTGGTGGAGAAGGTCAGCGTCGACCCTGTGAACACTATTCACACTCCTTCGTTAAGTTGTTTAGTTAGCCAAAACTTAGATATTTTCACAAAAGTCCCAGTAAATATTGAACTTTAATCTACTTATATTACTTAAAATTCTGCATGATCATAGTTGTGTATTTTTTTACATACATAAACTATCTGATGTTATTCTTTTTAATATAGAATTATTCATACAAGTATTTCCATGTTCTAGCATTATCTAAAGATTTATAACTTTGAAAAAAGAGTACTTATTCAATAAACCATAATGGCAAATCCTATTCCAAATTTATTAAAAATGAATTTAGATTCAAACCCACTCCCCTATATGCATTATTTGTCCTACTCAAAAGTTTATCCTGGAAGAACAATATTATCCTTTATATTACCCTTTCCCAGAAGAGAAAATTTTTAAATGTGCCTCATTTAATGACTTTAAAATACATACAAAACATTCTTTAAGCAGTTTTTGAAAATTGAGTAAAAAATATTTAACAAAAAAGGTGTTAACTTTATGTTTTAAGGAAAAATGTTGAAAATGTTATCCTGGAGAATCTCACTTTAGGATGACTCTGCTGCCGTCCTAGCTTTCCCTTTGGAGTCTGAAGGACGGGTGTAGTCTCCTTAATGTTCTGGCTAGGTCATTGTCTCATTCTGGGAGCTATCAAGCACTCTCCTGAGACTGCCTTGCAGGGTCCAGTAGAATAATTCCATACGTGAACTCTCATACGCAGCATTTGCAACAGGTTGTACAAGGCATTTAAGATTGGGTAGAACGATGTCGATATTCTGTGAGTCATTTTTATATTGTCTTCCTGTTTATATTCTACGTTTTGTGAGTATTGTTTAGGACTTTATTTGCTAGTAATGGAACTTTTATTTAACGTAAAAATCTGCATCACACAATGTATCTTGCAGAAGCAGAGATGAATTTTAGCAGATGACATATTGCCATAAGACAAGATTGTTTAAATGAGAGAAATTTAACTTTGATCATATTTTTGCTTTGTAGTTTTGCCCCATCATTCAGTTTTTTTAATTAAAAAAACTATAATGTCAGGTTTGGTTAAAATATCATTGTCAGAAAATTTGAAACTCACTGGGCTCTTAGCCTTAAGACAGACTTTCATTTTAAAAATAAAATAGCTGAATGAAAAATAGTTTGCTTTAGTTCAGAATACATACATAAAGTGTTTCATAATTAAATGTGAAGAAACGGTTTTGAGTACCCTTGTGTTACATTTTTTTAAGCTTGATCAGAATCTTTCTAAGAAAGATGAAAATTAATTTTAAATCCTGAAGCTAAAACATGTTAATGAACTAAATAAAAGTTGACACATTTCTAATTGTATCCATCTTCCCACCTTTTACCCTTAAGTATTTAAGATATTCATAGACAAAAGCCATCCCTTATCATTTCACTCCAGTCAACAGTGCATAAACTGAAGTTTGGATATTTTCTCAAAAGATGTGGCAAAATATACACTTCAAGTGCATTAACCACTTTCCTTACGCTTCTGAAGATAAATGAATTGCCTGAACATCTCAAGATCTTGAAAGTTTATAGTGATGGAAGCATAGGTTGCAAGTGAATGTGTTGGCCTTGTAAATTCTGCTCCTAAAACTGTAGCATCTGTAGCATAAGCGCCTTCTTAATGAAAGAGTGACGCAGTCATAAATTTATGTATACCATGACGCGTGGAAGTATCAAAGTTTCAACTTTCCATGTGTCAAAAGAGGAGAAGCTATTGTTTTAATATAGTTGAACATTATGTTGGAAATAGTAGTCTTTTCACTGTGTTTTACCCAGACCCAGACTGGCAGAGGTAACTCAAAGTAGTTGATCCTTTGGAGTACTCTTTTCCTCCCTTTTCGTCTGTCTTTCCACCCTATCCCCTTAAAAATAAATCATGACATAGAAAACCATATTTAGTTTATGGACGAGAATTCTTAGAATAATTTTTTCTTTGTCAAGCATCAGACTGAAGTTATACTGTTCTGTTATATTGAGTTTCTATATTGATGTAGGGTACTGCAAAGCTGTGTACAATAAATGTCAAGGATAGTGATTTACTGACAACAATTAGGAAAAGAGAACTATAGAATGCACAGGAACATTTTCAGAAATGGGTTTTATTATATTTCATAGGCACCACTCACTTTACTTTTGGTGGGTTTTAATACTTGAATCAAAATAAAATAATACATGAGTTAAGTATTAAACCAACAGATTAAAGCCCCAGGCCCCAAGCCCCTCATTTTGGTTGTAGCTCTTGGTGTAGATGCTATGGTGTGAGGGCTGCTTTCTTTCAATGGCTGGTTGTCATTCAGGCTGGGTTGTCATGTGACTGCCTGTCTGTGCCTGCTGTACAGGTGAGCGGATGTTCTGCACAGCAAGTGTAGACAGGCAGACACATGACAACTCTGTCCAGCCAGGCCCTTGATTCCTTCAGGTTTCCTTTGCTCATAGACAGATACAATCAGCCTGTTTTCCAGATTTGGTGATTTTGGAGAGTAAGGGGAGAGGGAGAAAAATACACAATATAATTAAACATTAAAACATTATGGAACTAAAAACATGTTAGACTTTTGACTTTATTCAGAAAGTACATTTATACATTTGTTCCAAATGTGCTAACATGGATAATTTGCATAACAGAAAACTCACATTAAAATTTTAGGAAAAAAAGAGATTAAACACAAGGTTTTTTCTTAAATCCAATTCATATTAGTACTGGCCCACATGTAGTCAGAGTTCAGAGTAATTGAACCAGATGTTTTTCCTCTTTGCAAAAAACTGCATATTTTAATACTGAAGTTAAAGATAAAAACTATGTTTATACACGTTTCTTTTAGTAGATAAGTACAATAACCTTGCCCATGAAAAAGAAAATTATCATTGACATGGAAACAGCAGCCCTTTTCAAAATAATGAGCCTAATGTATTTGGCAACCCAAGCTGCTGACTTTGGTATCTGATGCTTTGATAATAGGATTTTACAAGGGAATATGTTTTTACCAATTATATGTTAAACAACAGGAACCGATTTAAATGTCTCATTTTCCTTTTAAATGCAAAGTTTCTAAGTGTGGATGTGAAATCAAATTAAAGGCAGTTGTGAGCTTAAGTTATCCACCTCTTAATTAACTACAGGGACATGCTGTGAATGAAAAGGGTATAAACTGGAAGGTTGTTACTCACAGTGATGCTCAGAATGTGTTTTGGATATAGTTAGTGCAACATAGTTACAAAATAGTACCTTAAGAAAAGGCAGAAAAGGCAAATTCATTTCATATCCAAAAAATTAAAACCAGATCCTTTGAAAAATTTTCTATAATTTATATGAGCTAATAGTGTTAAATATGCAGATACAAAATTTAATTCTGGTGAGTCGAGAATAATTCTACTATTTTAATATCAATTATCAATTCACATTTGTAGAAGTATTAAGCAAATTCCCCTCCCCTTTTAAAAACAAAAATATCCAAATAGTCAAAATTCCAGTAAGTAGGACTTCTTAAAAAATACAGCACCAAAAAACACAGTATTGTCCACAGATTGTATAATTAGACATTTTCTCAAAGAACTTTAAGAAAAACAAATAGTTTGTGATTTATCTTTAATTGTAAAATTCTGAGAAAATAGCAAATAGAAACTTAATGGAAAGCAAAATAGTTTTTAGATACTGAGAAAATGACAATTTTCTACAAATCTGGACTTTTATGCAGTGATTAGATAAGGTAATGTTTTAACAAAAGCTGGTAAGTGCCATTTTCTGTATACTTATGTAATTTCAAGAAAGTAAATTTCTGATTTTGTTTCTGGCCATCACTTCCGAGTAAAGGAACTTTTTTTTTCCTTGACAGAATAATAAACATGAGTAAACTTGTCTGTTATTTAAATAGCTACAAGGTTAGAGTATGCCAAAAACCAGTGCCTTAAAATACTATTGTGTTACTGTTGCTGCATTCAGTGCAACAGAAAGTAATTATAGAGTGATTCACTTACAAAGAGTATAGTGGTGGAAATTAAAAATTACTAAAATTCTTTATAACTTTTCCTCTCTCTCCCATAAATAATTTGATCCAGTTAACTCTGCTCAATTAAAGGAATGATGCATGCAACCTGAAAAAATAAAAAGAAATATTTGTGAGTTTGTATGTTATGCTTTAATATAAAACAGTTTTATTAAGGCAAGATATAAAAAAAATTTTGATCCAGAAAAATCACAACAGTTTTTCAGGGGGAAAAAAAAATCTCGCTGAAAATGATTGTTCTACTCATAAGGCTTTTGGACACTTTATGTTTCTGATAGATTTTTAAAACACACAGTAAGTATGTGACATATGCACACTTCATAGTTATATTGAACCTGCCCCTAAACTTGTTAAAAAGATGAAAGACTGAAAACCATATTGACTTTTTTTTAATCTCCCAAATTATAGGTTGGATATTAGTTTATTATTACTTAAAATACTAGCTAAAATATAAAAGAGCTATTTGTATTATTATCATACTATGTAATTTTTAGCATAGTTATTATACCTTGTTTTCTTTTTGTCTTTTATTTCTTAAGGAAAAAAATGTAAGAAAAGAATTATCTTCTAAGTCTTCTGTAGTAAAATTAAACCAAAGCAACTCCAGGAAACTGGCTGTCACGCTAAGTCAAAAAATTCAAAATGAAGATTTAATTATTTTCCTAATTTACTTGGTTATCTCTATCTATTAAAACTGACAAAAATTATTCATAAGAGACCTTTGAAAATTGGTAAATATTTATATCTACTTAATTTACAGAACATGAAAGTAAAAAGGGATTTGAATTAAGAAAGTTTCTATCTTAACTCAGGAATTTCCTGTCTTAGGTTAAAGCCTGACCTTCCAGTTATTTTAAGCCAGGATTTCTGAGTGATGGTCTCTTAGTTATTATTTTGACGTTATTGTGATGGGTGGGCTTTTCTGCTTAAAGCAGGGTAAAGTGCATTGTTTATAAAGAGCAGATCCCTTATAGAGTAAGTGAAAGCTTGGCGTCTCTTTAGCGAGCATGGACACTTGTGGATGAGTGAATTTTTTTACATTACCAAGTTGTACTTTTTATATCTTATAACAGCTTAAGACTTCAACCAAAAAAGTGGGAAGAATTCTTTCACTGGGATTTTTATGTCTAAACTATTTCCCACAGAGTGAAATACTTGGGTGGTCTGTAGGCAAGAGGTGGGGGTAGATAGTATATTTTGGTCTTTTACAAACATAAACATATTATCTGGGCCGAAAGCCCGAATGCCAAGCAGGAAGGATATTAAGCCTATTGACTAACTACAGGAAAGTGATCAGCGTGAAACTTTGTCCTATAGTAAACAATCTTTCTTTGATTTTGAGATCTGTGGGCTAAAAGAAAAATGGGTTTGAAAATTGAAGTACACCGTTTTCAATTGATCCTTTTCCAATTAAGACATTATGGTGTTGAAGCTAAGGCTCTGAACTTCCTTTCTCTTAGATGGCGGAAAAGTCCTTTTAACCCAGTACCTCGTCCAATTTATCAATCGTTCACATGCTAAAATGAAAAATAATTATGAAATTTCTATGAAATGTAGTTTGGACAGACCCTGAAACAGTTTCTCTTCATGACCATGTATAATGTTTAATTTTAATACTTACACTTACCATTACATCCAGGGGTAGTTTTAGTTGAAGATGCTCACTGTTGGTTAGTTTCCTCTGGAATAGATTCCATGATCCCTAAAATATTTGTATATCTCCTTATAAAGTAATATGAAAATAAAATTAAACATTTTTCTAATTTACCTGGATATAGATACGGCTATAATGTATATAAATGTGGGCATGTGTACCAGCGCATAAACTACAATCCTGCCTTCATTCAGCAGAGCTTTATAAAATGAGCTTTTACTTTTGATCTTTAATTTAGCCCATATAATTGAAAAATAAGTACTATTCCTTTTCATTTGTTAAAAGTTTGCCTCAAAAATAAGTCGCTAGAGCCACATCAAGCACGTGCAGGAACTCCTTGGTTATCCTTTTACAAAGTAATTCTTGTATTTCTACTCTTGTACTTATGCCAGGGGCACCCTTATGTCCCTTCTATCTCCAGACCGAAAGTCATCCTGAGGGAGAAAATAGGTGAGGGACCCGTAGGGATTCATTTCTTTGAAACAAAAAGACCATTTAACATGAAGAAAGAAATTGAAATTAAATATACATTAAATGAAAGCAAATTATGAACTGTAATCATTTCTAGAGTTAAAAAAAAAACCCCAGAAAATTTGAGAAAACTTAAACATTACCAAAGTACCTTGTTAGCTATTCTTCTTCAGTAATTGTATCAATTAGAAAAAATATATTTCTTGAAAAAATGAGCTCCTCTAAGTTACTTTTTTTAAAGTTTTCTTATGTAAAAGAAACTATATAGATTTTTAACGTCTCATTTGTTCTGCTAAAAATAGTTAATATGGAACTCTGCAAGTCACAATAGAAAATGAAAGGATGACTTTACTATATCATCTAAGTGAAAGTAGCTAAATTTCTCCTTGCTGTGTATATTTTAACTAATAATCATGAATATATAAGAATACTTATGTTTTCTTTATACACATTTTGGGGTGATCAGAAGGGTAATTTTTAAAGTAAGTTGTTTTGACAAAAGAAAGCTTAGGGAACCTTTTATAATAAAATATTTTGCTAAAGAGAACTTGAGTCAATTTTTGAATTGTTGCAAAATGTATAACTTAGAAAAGGATTTGTTCAGGAACCACTGTAACTTTAAAGGACAAAAGAGATTACATTTATTTTTCACAAACCCCGTAGAAGAGATGTTTTCATTATATAGAATTGTTTGGGAATTGAACTAAATGGGGGTTAAGAAAATTAGTGATGAGGCAATAACATTTTTCCAGAACTTTCTTTAAGGGACCCACCTCTAAAGTTCAGCACAGATCACATTGCAATCCAGACTTGCTCTATTATTTTCTCTATTAGGATTTCATTCAGCTTGAGGGTTTTCTTCCCTCCCACCTTCCTCCCCCTCTCCCACCCTCCTTCACCTCCAGGACAGCTGGAAATTGACCAAAGAAAACTTCTGCCTTCGTTTACAAATTCCTTTTTTATCAGTGGGTTTCTAGACAAAGTGCCTTATCATTTTAAATGCTCGGAGAAGTGGAAGCATTGTAAGCTATAGGCAAGAGGGCTCAGCTGAGCAGCAAGTATCAATTACTCTTTGATTAAAAAAAAAAAAGCGAAAGATATTTACAGGGGTATCTGAAGATAAGAGATTTTTATTTCCTGATTTATTCAATTGCTGACTCAGTAAGTTGTGGGTTGGCGCTCTTCTCTGGGCAAATCCCATCTGCATTGTCTGGTAGGCAAGACTTGGCAGGTTCTTCTTTTATTGTTAGGTACTATTATTCCTGGTGTTTATATTATAGAAGGAAATCTTCAGAAAAGCACTATCCATATAGCATTTAAAAACCAGCAAGTATTCTTTACTTTGGGAAAAATGACTTCAGTCCTGGGATGTTAAAAGTTACACATACAGCCTTCATCCATATACGTTTTTAAATCTCTGAATTATTATTAAACAATTCAGAAGTAGCCTCATTAAACTATTCTTAAGTGTCTGGAGTGAGTTTTTTCATATTACATTTTGAAGTGGGAAAACCTTTACACTTAAGAAAACACTCGAATTATCAATCTTCAGGAAAAAAACAAAAAAACAGTGAATCGCTATATACCACACACTTTCGCTCTTTTAAAATTAAACACATCTCTACCCATCACACATGTACCTCTGTTTCCCTTGCATGTTAACACAAATCATGGACTCCCCACCTAGGTTCCCTTGGTCACAGACCAGGTGAGCAGTCAAGAAGGCCTTACCCGCTGGTCTTCCTTTCGGCAGTCTTTTCTCAGCGGTGTCCTCGAGGGCTTCTTGGTCCCTAGTGTGCAAAACCTGTGAAGAAAAACACTGGATATGAGATTCAAAAAAGGAGCAAACAAATGTCTTCTCCTTGGAAACAGCCCATTTTGTCCCCAGCAGTCCATGGCGTTGCTCTCCCTTGCCCAGTCTAACCAATGTGCAGACTACTGTACAACGGCATTGTCCTGAACAGGTAGTCTGAACACTGGGGCGACGGAGCAGGATCTCCAGAAGCTTCCTTCCATGTACTTAAAATCCTCTCCCGGTCCTCAGGAAAAGCCTCCCTTCCTGCACCAGGGGTTGCATTCAGCTTTCCCCCCTGAATTCTGCTGCGCTGACTGAGACACACTCAAGGGCTGTGATTTCCAGTCTTGACGTGGCACATTTGCTGCAGACTGGGGAACTGGCAATGAATTTAGGACCAGGAAAAGGGGGAGGGCTGGGCTGGAGAGTCCATATATGGGATGATGTCACCCTGGGGAGGTTTGGGTATGCGCTGTGCCGCTGGAGAGACCGCTAGAATCGCCTGCTCTCAGACATGGGTCTGTGCATAAAATGGTACCAGATGTTTTAGTGTAACGTTAAGCAGTCATTTCATCTTCAGGCCAGATTTTTTTCCTCAACTGGGCAGGAAGTGGGCCCCAGTATGGAAAAGCTGTAAAAAAAAAAAAAAAAAAGAGTCAAGATGTACAGTTCGGCTGTGGCCAACTGAAAGTGAGTTAGTGTAGATGTACAAATTTACTGTCTGACCCAGGCTAGAGAAGTAATTTGAAGATAGAGGGTAGATAAAATAGTAAACAGAAAGTTGAACACTGGAAGGCAGAGCTCATTTGGAAACCTTTTTGAGCTTTCCTGTGGCACTTTGTTTTCCTGCGTATTTCACTCGTCAAAAAGGGCAGATAAGTTTCTCTCTCTCTCTCTCTCTCTCTCTCTCTCTCTCTCATTTTCTCTCTCTCTCTCTCTCTCTCTTTTTCTCTCTCTCTCTCTCTCTCTCATTTTCTCTCTCTCTCTCTCTCTCTCTGTCTCTCTTCCTCTCTCTCGCTCCCCCCTTCTCTCTCTCCCCCTCCTTCCCTCCTCCATCTCTCTGTCTCTCTCTCTCTCTCTCTCCCCCCCTCCTCTCTTTCACTCCTTCTCTCTCTCCCTCCTTCTCCTGTCTGTTGGATCTGTCAGCAGCTTGCAGGCTGCTCTAGACTTGAACAGTAATTATAGCAACTTCCTGAAAGTGAAGCCCCCATGAAAAGTCTGGAGAAATGTTCTTTGTCATAGCCTCTACATGAGTAATTAGTTCCACATGTGGCCTTCCTAGTTTCCCTCAGCTATTCTGGCTGGCTCTCTGAATGCTGTGCTATAGTTTGACCTAAAGAAACGGTGAAGTTTTTATTTGAAGCATCCACTACGAAATAACGACTCAGGTCTAACAAATCGCCTCTGGTAGATCCACGCCGTTAGGTATAGCATTGTTTTTCACTGTTAATTCCTGATTCTGTTTTGATACTTTTGTTTTGTTTTCATGGTATTCTGTGGCTTAGTTTTATCTCTGATTAACTAAATCTGCTGAAATTTGCCAAGTACCGCTTGACCAAAGGTTATAAGATATCAGCCCACTGGCATCTACTTTTCTTTCCGTGTTGTGGCTGTTTTCAATTATATATACTGTTGAATATTCTGAATATGTAGTTCTCTCACTTTCCCTCCGTAGGATTCTGATCAAAGCTAGAGTCACCTCAAACAAGAGCTTGATTAATTGCCCTTCTAAAGATCAAAATGTGAGAAAATTTCTAGGTAGCTCCCAAATTTAATTTGACTAACCAAACTAAGAAACTTAGCATCCTTTAAAGAAGTACAGCCAAAGCGATTCATTTCCACTGGCCTTCTGAAATGCTTTTTAGAGGTAGAAAAATATATCACTTATTTATACGCTGCATTGTATATTTCAAAAAGCTTCAAGTGAGTACTGTCCTAAAGCATTTGCTTTTCATAAAATGACTTCTTTTGATTCATTAAAGAGCACACTACTAAAGAGTTCAAAAGTTATGATAAACCCTTGTTATTTTGTGAGGAAGATTAAATAAGATAAACATGAATGATCTGACATCTTAGCATGGAACAGAGATTAGCACTGGGTATACCATTCATAGAAATATTTATATCATCAATAGGAGTCAGAGGAATGACTTTATATCACTGTACTTTTACTTCCATACTTGTGTCTTTAGGGCCTATTCAATAGTGCTTGCACAAGCCCTGTAAGACTCACCTCCCTTTTTTCCCTGTCACTGCTTGCATATTACTGGAAATAATGTAAATGTGACTACATACAATCTAGTAGTTGTATTACATGTGGATACCAACTCCATTTTATTTTTTAAAGTATCTGTGTGTTTACTCACATGAAGTCTTCATAGAGGAACCATAAACCACTGAGCCAGTAGTCAGCCAGCATTCCAGGAGTAGGCCTCCTTCTGCCACAGAAAGTGAAAGCCTTTCTTCTGCCCACTTCCATTTAGATATAAGACATGCCTTGGAAATTTTTGTCAAGGCAAACAAAAGGGGTTCTGATCAGATTGCACCATGATTTCCCCTTAGTCCATACATCTATATGCCCTCAAATGGTTCTACTACCTACACCAAATAGGAATCTTATGATATTTCAATCAAAGGACTTAACTTTTTACTTATCTTTATGACTTTCTAAACATTTTAAGGAATTTTCTCCAGAGACAGCTATAGAAATTGAGTTCCCCTTAGAATATATGTCCATCTCCTTGAGTTTCCAGTTAACTGAAGTGTTTGAGGGTGTTCTTGCCTCCAAATAGTTCAACAAATATTTATTCTCGCCTACTCACCTGCTAGTCACAATACCAGGGACTGGGCATACAGAGATTAAGATCTGACTCCTGCCCTCAAAAAGCTCACACTTACATAAAACGTTACGAATACACATCTGTGACCAAGTTCTGTTTAAAAAGTTGGTCATTCTGCTCTGAAAAGTCCTTGGCATTGATTTGGAAATGCCTTAATAACTTTTCTTATGTCTGTAAAGTTATCACTTGAATACCCAAAATGTATTGGGCCCTAGAAAGCAAAGTTGGACATGACAAATACTTGACTTTGAGGAACTAAAGTTATTTAATTTGCTTATTTCAAATGTTGTTGACCAAAGTGATTATTGAATCAATAGATGGTTTTGGGTGACTACAAAATATGCTCTATTTTAAAGTGTTATGAAAAGGAAACACAGTTTCAGTTAGTTATTGTTACCAATCTTGGCACATTTTTATGACTTTGGAAATTCTCAAATTGAAACCAGGACTGAGGCTTCTTTCTATGTACCTCTAAAGGGGCAGGGTTACTAGTGTTTACAATTATTTTGTGATATCCAGATATGCATACTTCAGCTAATATTTATATAGCCTTAATTTTTTTTTTTTGTTGCAAGATTAGTGCACAAGTTCAAACAATAGAGAGGTATGTCAAGAAAAAAATTAATCATCATTATCCCTTCCAACTTCTTATCCCTTTCTGTCTTCCCAAACTAATGGTAACTGTTTGGCATGATTCCTTTGACTACCTTCTCAATAGTCATTTTACAGCTTCTTTACAGATTACAAAATCCATTCACGTATAATGTATTAGTTTCTTATGATAACCCTATAGTGTAGCTATTATTATCCCCATTCTATTGATGATAAAATTAAAGCTCAGAGAGCTTAAACATTACTTCGTCAGAGTCCACAAATGGCAGAACTCAGAGTTTTTTTCTAGCACCAATGCTTGTGCTCAGAAGAATATTGTCAACCTACAGAAACAACGTGTTCCCCTAACAAATTCTTATAGTGCTTGTATTTCCTGTTATTAAAATGCCAATTAATTACCTGCTGTGCTTTCACAGTTTTATACTGAGATGTTACCTGTACTATTTGTTATTTTATGTATTTGAACTTTTTTTTTCCTAGATAAAGTATAAGCTAATTGAAGGCAGGAAAAATATATTTGTATTTCTTTTGACTGGCTGATTGTAGGCCATTCAGTAAACTGTAAAAGAATGAGTAAAGAGCTATATGGTATGCATGTCGTTTCTGGTCAAATATTCGTCATGATAGTAACTTAGGAATTACAGCTCTCTTAAAAAAATCATAAAAAACATAGTGTGCTTTTAATATTTATATATGTGTCTGCAACTACCATACCAGATTGAACTCTTCTTTTTGAAATAAATGTAAACATTGAGCCAACCATATTTCCTTGTTTATTTTTGGCCTTCTAATCTTCTGGAAGCATCCTGTGCAGCTACCAGTCATACAATCTTGTGTGAAAAGCAGGATCTAACCAAGTTGTAGTATTTCCTTTCTCCTTTTCTCCTTCCCAGTTTGTAGCTAAGATAAAAATCTAGCTGACCTTCGTTCATTGCTAATTAGAGAAGATAGCCCCACTTAGTTTGGCTTTATGTTGTGTGGATTAGCACTTTTTTTTTTAATTGGAGGCAATGCAGTCCCCTAATCTCCTGCATTTCCTATTTTGTTAGGGCCCAAAGGACTAGATATGTTGTAGCAGAGCGTTCCACTTTTCTTCCCTCGCCTGAATCACAAACAAATGGCTTCCCTCAGATCACTGCAGTGAAGTGCCTTCTTAGGCAGAGATGCAACATCAGCCTGTAAAATAGAGGAGAAATATTTCAGAGGGGTAAGAGACTTTCCTTCAACAACTGAAAAAGAAGTTAAATTAGAAAGCTATAAATTATCAACTTAATGCAACTGAGTTTACAATCTTCAGAAAGTTTACAAAAGACAAAGATTGTGAGAGAATTGATATTAAAACGTACATTTACAGACGCATGTTTTGTTTTTGCCTGTCTCTAAAATTTCCATTGCTGAGTCTGTTTATTTAGAAATAAGCTCCTAACCAAAAGCAGTATATATTTTATGAACATTCTTTCCTCAAATCAATTGAGAAAGCTAATGTTACGTCTTTGAGTTTTACTAACCACTGGCGTGCACAGCAGCCATTTTTATATTTCAGTAACATAATACGTCCAGCAGACAAACCTTAAAAACTCTAGCTCTATTGGATACCAGTCACAAGAAAGGAAATATATGATTTATGACTCCAGTAAAATTGGAAGCACTGTCTTGAGATCTTTAGGGAAAGGCAAGTTAAAGGGATTGGAAAATTGTTGCTGGCCTTTTCAGGCAGATTTTAAGTGAGAGCATACTAGGAGTGTAGTCTGCTGCCTGCTTCTACCCTCAAAAGCTGATAAGCATCATCTGAATGCTATGTGCTGCGAGCTCCGTTGAATTCTGTGTTACAATCAGACTTTAGAACGAGGACTGGTTCCCTTGGACAAGAGAAACATAGTGTCGTCAGGTCACTGACAATTTTAGAGTATTGACTCCTGATGTCTTTTGGCATCACCAGTATTTTATTTCCTTAGTGTGACTCAAACATGAATATGCATGATATTCAAAAGAAAAAATATCTGTACGTGCATAATGTAAGGACTCAGAAACTACTTTTTTTTTTCTGCAGGGGTGGAGAAAGTACCCTTTCTGTGGCTGGGGATACAAGTTAAGCATAATGGCTACAAGGATGCATGTGTGTGAAGGGACGCTTTCTGCTTTACTCAGAATACCTGCAATTATGCAGTAGGTCATTTTAGAATCTCTACGTCTTTAAGTAATGATAGGCATACTTGTGCAACACATAGCACATTGCCTTTATTTTAGGATTTTAATCTTCTGGTATATACAAAAGGGGAAACCCAAATTACATGAATTTCTAAAAGGGTTTGATCCAACATAAGTCTGTTTAGTTGTGTCCATTATAAATATGTTAACTAGCCTTCTCAATTCTGTTCAGTTTCCAGAGAATTTATTCTAGCTTCTAAGGACATATGAGACCATATTAAAATACTTCTGTTCACACCATCATGGAAATTTGCTTTACTTTTACATACCAAAGAA